GTGTAATGTTTGAGCTTCTTCCACATTATTGACTTGAATCATGGAAAACTATGTTGGAGCGTTGCAGCTGAACAGCTGCTGGGATAATCCACGACCTGACGACTGTGGCCATGTGTTTTCAACTGAATGCAGTCCAGCTTGTAGACTGCTCCACAAGCGAAGCGGTATAAATTCCCATATAAGGCAGGAGGACCCTTCCTAACCTCCTGCTCCTCCTCTCTCTCCTCTCCCTCCGCCGACCCATAACTCCTTTACGGAAACTAGCTCATATGGCAACCTCCCTCAGACGCACACATAAACACAGTCACATCATGCAAAGAGCTGAAAACCGTCTAATGTCGAACACTGTGTCGTCAACGTGTGTCGTTATAAACCAGATACTGGCTCGTTCTCCAATAGATCAGACTCTCGTTCTTAAATGGGTTCAAAAGGTCAGAGTTTGCCACAGTTTCAGCTTCATGTTTTATTGAAGATGTTTTCAGTTTCCACTTAGTTTGGAATCGGCTAATCTGATTCCACTATTAAGACGCCTCGCCTGTTGTATTTATACACTCGTCGGTTTTAAGGGTTTGGTTTGAAGGTCCAATTTGGGAATCGCAGCGCATCTGAGTAGAGGGTCTACTTGGTGCAAATTAGAAAACTGCTGGGATTTGGGAATTGTTGTGGTGGGTGACTGGGCTATATGGGTGTATTGCATGTTCACGTTAATGTTCTGGTTGGCAGGAAACAGAAAACCACAAAAAATGAGAAGAAACTGTAAACATATGGTGGACCCCTGCCTATTTGTGGACGGATTCAGCTATTCGTTAATTTTTCCGAGGCAAAGAACTTCATATTACTCACATAAACTCCGCCCATTTGCAGAATGTTTTGTAGCGCATATCAAAAATAATTGATGGAAAGTGCAGGTTGGGAGACTGACATAACCAGGTGCAACGCTACCTGACGCTACTGGCTGGCATTCAAAGTCACTTAAATCCTGTTTGGTCACATTCTGATGCTGAAGATCAACAAGTCTAAACGCACTGCGGCAGGGATTCGTTATTTGTGTTAGCAAGTAGCTGGAACTGGTGTATCTAATAAAGTGGCCAGAGCGTTTTTAGCCGTCGTTCACATTCATACTTTAGACATCAGTCAACGCCGAAAAAAAAAAAAACTGCTTGGCCTGAAAATGACCTGAGCAGATATTTTCGCATCCTTTTTAAACTAATGAAGACCAATAAATTTTATGTGGGTAGCTCCCAACCAACTCTGCATATAAGAGCACTTTGCAGTCGTCTTATCAGCAATAATATTGACCACCGCATATAGATGTTATTTAATCTGTACTGCTGCTACAGAGTATGGCTGACTGATTGGATTAATTAAAAAAATTATGAAAATTAAGTTATTGCTGCAGTGAAAACGCAGGTAATCTGTCATCACAGGTTTTCTTTTTTTTTTTTTCCAGACAATGTAAAAAAAACAAACAAACTTGAAAGCCTACCTTTTCAAATAATTATAGTGTGTAACAAAACACACAACTGATTGTCTTTTTTGTTGTTCGCTTTCACACTCTCTGGGGCTCTCTTGCCAACCACAGGGAGACCAAAGGGTGAAGCACATGTTGCCCGGCAATGGTTTCGCAAACAATACAAGTTAGTAATAATATATTTCTCCCTAATTTATGTACTGAAACCCTGAAGGGATGTATACATAAACAGAGACTGGACAGTCCTGTATTCAAGTGGTGCTACAAACCATCAGAAGGGCAAATTAACAGTTTACTTGTGCAACTCTTGCTACAGTTATCTCCACGGCAGCCATATTGAATGCAGGCTTCTGAGTTTGGTGGGATTTGTGTTTAATTTGTAACTCTAATTTATTTAATTTGTTTATTCTCCAAGTACAAATCGCACCAATGACATAAGATTTTAAAGGATTTATTATACCTTGAGTGAGTTTCACTGCACCAACTGTGAAGGTATCGCCTACAAAAAATAAACACACTGGGGTTCAATTCAATACCAGACATTTGTGCACAAAAAAAAAAAGAAGAAAAAACACTGAGCATAAGCTATTTAGTGTGAAGGTAGTCAGAGCTTTCTCAACTTCTAGTTAAACTAAAAAAAAAAATTCTTCAAAAATAAAATTAACCTTGCTCTGTATTCTCCACAATGTCTTCAAACCATTACATAAGAGCCGACTTTGTCTTGGGTTCTTCACAGAAAGACCTTGACACATGCTAATTATGTTGACTGACTGAAACAAGCAAGCTTTAACCCATATTTGTGTCCTGTACATGATTATGAAACAAAGTCCTAATCAGAAGATCAGTTGTGGATGTGCGTTCGCCATCAAAAGTGTCAAAGCATCTTCCTCTTCAAAGCTGCGTCGGAAAAGTGATCAATACCGAAGCTTCTCATCAACCCACATAAATCTGGTGGGACGGACGGAGGACAGTGGGAGGCAGGGATGGGTTGAAGAATGAAGATAATGAAAAAAAACAAAAAAAACATAAGCAGAGCTGATAAGCCTTCAGCAGAGGAAGTGTTGTTCTGGGCCAATTCCCCCGTGGAGGCCCTGCATCCCACTGCTGCCCTGCTGCAGGATGTGTCCTCGTGTGGGAATACACAAGGAATGCGGCCCCCTTTTGTTTAGCGTGCGATAGGCTTCTGGTTGGCAGTCATTTGTGTGTCTTATGTGTGACGAGCTCCAGGCTTGGCAGAGGCTGATCAGAGCGACACTCCAGCAGTCCTTTCTGGGTAAGGCCCTCCTGGGAAAACAATGACGGAGCTCATAGCTGCTATCTTTCAAAGCCCCTCCTTGGCCGGTTAGACACACGGTGGGTTTTCTCTCTGTATTTATTTATTTTTATTATTTATAAACCACACATTAAACAAATGGTTAAGAGGGGATCTTAAAAAAGCTTGCCAGCTTTTTTATTTTTTTAGTTGGAATCCCCCCAAAGAGCCAGAAGAACTCAAAACCTTTCCCTGACACCTCCCACAATGTTCCACCAGTATGAAAGTTTTTAGAACTTGACGCTTCTCCTTCCGTCTGCAACTAGTCTGTCTCTTCAGGTCCGCCAAGGACACACTGCACATTGTGCTAAAAAATGCAAGTTTCTGTCTAAATAAATTATCGGGAGTTACGTAGTTGTTGTTTAGTAATTTTTGTGGATGCAGAGAACCTGAAAAGGGGGAACAAAAAGGGTTTGCACAACATGCTGCTAGTAACAAAGTACTTCAAGATTTAAAAAAAAAAAAAAAAGCCCTCTTGGCAAAGGTTGGATGTGCTCCTGAAGATATTTTATGCTTAAATTATATGTTTAATAGCGGGCGGGGATTAAAAATAGAACATCCATCTTGAAACAGAAGGGCATGAGGAATATGCTGACAATAAAACGCAACCAATCTATAAACAAGGTCTTGACTTTCAGCAGTTGTATAAAGCTTTCGCTCACATTTTCTCAAAAGACAACAAGAGTGAGATTTGCTGGCAAGAAAACACAAAGAAATAATGCATGGCAAAAAAAAAAGTAAAAAAAAAAAAGGTAGAGATTCTTTCGCGATGGAATAAGGCCTGTCCTGGACAAGGTGATAAATGTTTGCAGGCGTGGGAAGCACATAACTGAGATAAGTTGCACACAGCGTTTCCCAATAAATTAGAATATCTGTGGAAAGTTTAAGTATTCAATAATTCCAAAAAGTGAAATTTATATACAGATACTGATCTTACAAAAATATTTCAGCTAATTTTAAGGAAAAGCCTAAATCTGAATTGACTGCCCAGTAGGCTATATATATATATATATATATATATATATATATATATATATATATATAGTCTTTTACTTTATTGATTTTATTTAGTAAGAGAAAAGAACATTTCAAGGATATTCTATCTCACTAAGATGCAGCGTTGGAAAATGTTTTAGAAAACGAGCTCAACTAACCACATCCTGCCTGGTGTAAGGAGGAGTTAGGAGAATCGTCAGTGGTTTCTGAAATATTGAACAATCGTAGCAGCATAAGAAAGGAGGCACCAAACAATAAAGCAATAAAAATCCACATTAGATAGGTATTCCTTTTGAGAAATTACAATACATTTACAATTTCCTATCAAAACCGATGAAATCTGCGTCACAATTTCACCCGATTCTGAGCACGGAGAGGAACAAAGCGTTGGAGTGAAAACTCCAGCAACACTTGAAATAATGTCTAATCAACTTTGCTGCTAATGGAGATTGTTACTAGGCATCCAAAGTGTTCAGTGGAGTCTTAACCTCACAAGACTTTAAGCTGTCATTTCAAGCTCCAAACGTGACCGGATTAAAACAATTCTGCAAAGAAGAGTGGGCCAAAACTCTCACACGGCGTCGATGACAAAGACTCACCGTCAGTTATCACAAACACTGGGACGGAAGCAGACGGCAGGTTTGTGATTACTTTCATTAGGTCCTGTTGGCTCACATTGCGTTATTCCCCTTAGCAATCAAAACATCCTTTGAGAAAGACAATCTGTATTCAGTCACGTTATCTTTATTTATTTATTTTTTCTCCACAGTGAAATTAGGTTTGTCTGACATATTCAAGCGAGGGAAAATACGTTTTCACAGCGCTCTGTGACAGGACTTTCTCACAAACTAACACTTAAAACACGTGAAACTCATTGCTTCGTACAGAGCAGTGAGTCACGCACGGTCGGGAAGGGAAGTCAACTATTTGATTCAATCTTAAATGTGTACAAGGCTAAATCTTTGACTTCTACTGAGATTTTTTTATTTTTATTTTCTTTCATACTTTCAGCTCAGTGTGGAAATACGGTTTAATTTGCCCAAGTTGCTGATAAAAGAACAACTCCTAATGAAAAAAAAAACAAAAAAACCTTTATATTATGCTCTTTGTGGATGTCGGCTTGCGCTGGTCTTTTAAGCGAGGTAAACTTGGAGCGCTAAAGGAACAGAATTTAATTATTTGATCTCCTGATGGGAAGGAAATACATAGGGAGACTGAAAACAAGGCAAGGTGAGGTTTATTGATGTATTCAGGACAGTTTCTTTGCGTCAGTGTAGCCCTCATGTTGACAGTTTATGCACAGTGATACAAGCACTAGTTAGCAGTCGAGATGCTGACCCCAACAGTGAAACTCTTAGGCTGAAACTTCACACACAGGGTTCCAATGCAGTCTGAAAAAGTATGAAATGTATTTTCATAAGCCCATCCATCCACTGTGCACTTTTCCATTTGTTTTGCCGTCCTTCCTTCTGGTCAATCTTCCATAATTTTGACCTCTCGCTTTTCCGATTGTCCATTAATCTGTTTATCTTACCATCCATTCATTTACCTTACTGCCCATCCATCCATCCTGTTTTTTTTTTTTTTTTAATGTCCATATTAAAACCAGGGATTCTGACACGAAATGCACAGGAGCCCTGCATATAGAGCATTGGGTAGCAAAATAAAAAATAAATTATGTAATGATGATAAAAAGACCTGACATTGTTTGGTTTTTTTTTTAATCGCATACTCAAGTTTTTGAGACCAATATTTGGTATTTCTTCAAGTTACTGTTAAAAACAACATCTAGGGAGAAAAAAAAAAAGAAGAAGCGAGACAGATTCGGTGAAAAAGCCCATAAAATATGTAAAACACTGTGCATTTTGAATGAGTTCGTTCATGTATCTCCAGGAAATAAAGCACATCTTTGGTTCAATGGTCTTACATCAAGATGCATGGATATTGCAGTAGTACAAACTACAGACAAAGGCTCAGTTTCCTCTCTACTGCATGCATCCATTAAAAGTTGTTGGTTTAAAAAAAACCAAAAAAAAAACCGAGCCATTTGATATGTTTTGCTGGGTAAATCCATGCAGCTCATTTTTTCAATAACAACTCAATCAAAAAACAAAACGCTCGTTTTCGCCGGGAACTTACAGCCTTATTTACACGACGGCTGAAGACACTTTATGCGAATTAGCCGACATCACTCGCATGTAAAGACGTGCGTATGATTGATAAACAAACGTATTGCACTGGCTGCCATTACCATACATCTTCTGGGACTCAAGTAACAGAATAAAAACTTTACACTCCAAACCAGCACAAATGTGTCACTCGTCTCCCAGGGCAGGACGGCTGATGAACACCCTCTTGTTTCACGATAGAAGCCACCCTAATTTAATTGTAAAGAGTTCCCCCCCCACACACACACACCTTTTAAAAGACGAGGACAAGTTTTTACTTGAATAAAAAGTGATGACGGTGATTCAGACCTGGAGGTGACAGAAAACAAAATCAAAGAGGGAGCCAGGGACAGAGCTTTAAAAGCATATAAACCGTCTGTCCATACAGTCAACCACTTCACTGCAGTGTGTGTGTGTGTGTGTGTCTAGATGCAGTATATAAAACCCAAGACTCATTATCGTTGAGAGGGCAGCTCAAGTGCCCTCAGGCTCATTTTAGCTCCTTTCTTATTTCTCTGCTAAACTAAACTCTCCAGTTTTGGACATTGTGCTCCGACAACAACGTATCTAATTGACGTCTTGAGCACAGTAAAGTGCCTTTCAAAAGTATTCGTGCCCAGCAAACATTTCTGTACTCTGTCATGTTAACTTACGACTACAATTTATTCAATTTATCACACAGATTTTAGATAACAGACCAACGCAGCGCCGAGGGTGATTTGGAAATGATTGTTAAAATTGCTTATATTATAAAAAATATGGAAAATGTGCTACGTACTTGATGAACTACAGATAGTTAATTATGTGATTCCGAAGGGAATTGGCTGTACCGCAATTTATTCAGGGGTATCAGAGTAAACAAAGTCTACACCGCAAAGACACAAAATCTGGCAAAGTATTTTTGGTCTAATTTTTAATGCAAGTATCTCAGAATCCTTGAAATGAGGTAAAACTATCTTACAACTTTTTTTTTTTTGCGAGATATAAAAGCTTATTCTAAGTCAATAATTCCTTCCAGTGGCATATTATTTCACTTATGACGTTAGAAAAACGTCTTATCATAAGTGAAATAATCTTCCAGTGTAATTAATACAATTTTGTCAATATTGGGGAATTATTGATTTAAAACAAGCTTCAGTATCTTGCTGGAAAGTTGCTTGTAAGTTAATTGTGTCTCATATCAAGTGTACTAATACATTTGCACTAGAAACTAGAAGAGACTACAATACTAGTAAGATTTTGAGTTTTTGCAGACACACTTTTTTTCTGTCAAATGGCACCTTTGACTTTCTGCAAGAGGGTCTCCAGTCTGGAGGGGTTTTGCTCTCTCTGCATGGTTTGCATTTTCTCTTTTGTGCATAGGTGGATTCAATCCAGGTTCTCCAGCTTCCTCTCAGTCCAAAAACATGACTGTTAGGTCAAATGTCAACTGTCTGTCCTGAGAGTGACACACTCTCTCCCATCAGAGTTGGATGGATGAATGCTTCAATTTCCTTCTGATTCACAATTATATGCAAATTGCATTGATATGTCAAATTAAACCATGAAAAAACACATCGTAGTCGTCGCTGAGACAATGTGAAACGGTTCCGACAGCTACGAATACTTCTGAGAGGCGCTGCAGAAACTAAAGCGGTGCTGCCTCGCAGAGCTTTTTTCTTTCGTTTTTTTTTTTGTTTTGTTTTTTTAAGTGCAGCAGCGTGTACATTCAGATCCCGTCTCCACCTCGATTTGTTTAGTCTGTGCCTCCCGGGGAGCGCGAGCTCTGCCTCGGAGTCTGAAGGCGGTGCTAAAACAGAGACGACCGGCGCGGCCGGCGTCTTACAGGAAGCCGAGGAGGCAGGCGACCTCACATCCTGCCCGAGATCTAGAAGAGACGTTTCTCGAGAAGAAATGGCACTCTGAGCGATCTCTAGCGATGCTGCACTCTAGTTCTGCTGAAGAGTGACGCCGACCTTCGCGGCGAGAGAACGAACGCGATAAGAACGACCCACGAGGAGACGTTACATTCATTAAAAACTTCAAGTGATTAAAATGTAATAAAGCGAAGCTTTCATTGGAGACGAACGTGTAAAAGAACAACAAAACGCTCCCCCCGATCAGACACTGGTAATGGCTGTAAATTGACCTCGTAAGGTCTGAAAAAAATGACGTCTCAACAGGCAGTTTCTGTGGAGTTACTCCGTCAGGCAGTAAAATACATCCAGGCAGCGCGATCAAGGAAATTCCCCCATGAATAGAGCCAAAACATCCGGCCACTGCAGGACGGCGTGGCCGTCGGTTCTACCTCCAAACGGGTCGTGAATCAGATGAGAGAAACATTGGCTTTTCTGCGCTATGGAAACCCTGAAACCATCCTCCCACCACCCTTTTTATCTGCTCATCAAACACAACCGAGATGTTTCCCCATGCAGTCTGTCTGTCTCAAGACTTCAAACATTTACAAAACGCCGCCACACTTCATCACAGAAGTAAAGTGGAGCTCGTCGGCTTTCCACTGAGCAGTCTTCACTTGACAGTTTGTGGATCTGAGTCGCTGCATCTGGCCAAACGCAGCCAATGCCTCCTCCAGCCCCCCTCCCCTTGCCGCCTCCCTCCATCCCCACCTACTCCCTCCTGTTGCCATCAGGGCTTCTTGGCTGCGGTTTTGGCTTTCCCGTTGGGTCCTGTTTTGATCTGGGTCATCTCCACATCTGTCAGGGCGTCGGGGGGAAGGCTGGAGCGCATGCGTTCAACCGTCCTCTGGTAGGCTGCCCTCTCTTGCTCCAGGGAGCGAATCATGTGCTTCATTTTGCTCTCCCGAGAGAGGAAGCTCTCCACGCTCGTCTCCAGAGTCTGAATCTTCTGCCTTGCAGCCTGCAGGACAGAGAGAACGCATCTCAGTCAGGCGCTGTTGCAAAACGGACACTCAAATTTGAAAATCTTGAGGACTGTAAAACAAGACGTGCAATTTCGCACCGCAGCCCGGGAGGATAACGTCAGTAATCGGCGTAATGCATCTGAATGTGCATTTCATCCACGATCTTGAAATAACTTGTTGAGCTTTATAGGAGTCGAAAACCAAGTCCAAGTCCAAAACATTGACCCTCTAGTGATTTTCTCTCGCTACAATCAGACATGAGAGCGCCTGAAGAACTTTCAAACCTCTGTTAATATGAAGCTCATCAGGTGCGACTTTATCAGTCCTCCTCCACAGATTCACACTTCACTGAAATGATTGAAGTACGTGGAGAACATAACAGCTCTCAGGCCTTTTGTTTCTTCAACAGTCTCTCATTGCCGCTGTGTTTTCCACTGATGTATTAGTGCCATCTACAGGTAATCCGAGGCAATGACATTTTTGCAATTACACACAGCTTCTTCGAGATTGCACAAATTGGCATTATTTTTTTTTAACAAATTGTGACTCTCTGCAGAAGAATATATCCACTCAACAGTATTCTGGTTTACCACTTAAACATGCGATGTTGCACTTTATTTTCCTTACTTGAAGTTTTTCCAGCAGATCCATGTTCTGTTTCTTCAGCTGCACGTTCGTCTTCTCTAATTTGTCGAGGCGCTCCGAGTCGTCGGGCGGCGGCCCGGCGTCCAACATCTCATCCTGCAGGACGTGGTACTCGACCTCATATGCGTGCAGCTGCTTGGAGATGTCCATGTCCATCACCTAGTGATCCAGAATGAGCTGCAGTGAGGTTGTTTGCACCAAAGCTTCAGACATATAAAGCCTGGAAATAAATTGTGTATTGCAATAGCCTTGCTTTGTTTGTAAAACATTTGATTTTCAGGGGGCTCTTTTCTATCAGTAGTCAGTCAAACTACTGATGGGTATCATGCTAGAAGGAAAGTATGCAGTTTCTATGTAGACCAAAATAAAAACATCTGCAATTGTTGAGCTATGTTGGGCTTTTGTTCTTTATACAGTCAAGACTTTTCAAGATTCTCTTGGAAAGCAATGACAGGTCCAACTGAAAATTTAAAAACGATCCATTTGGAGACGCAGCAGATGTGCTCTAGTCAAACGAAACCAAACCTGAACTTTCTGGCCTGGACCCAAAGTAAAGTGTTGGGGTGGCAGAATCACGCTGTGGGAATCATTTCAATTTAGTAAGACAAAAAATATTCCCCGTCTTGATCCACCAAAAAAAAAAAAAAAAATCTCAATAAAATTACACTGAAACTTGTGCAAGGGGTGTGAAAACCTTTACAAGGTTCTGCATAAAACACATGTAATTGCATGTATACTTTATTTTTTTTTAATATTCGTGTTCTGTGTTCAATTTTCACAAGTTGGCAAAACCAAATTAGATGCGAGAAAATTGTAGCATTACTTTTGCATCGATGCGCTGCATTGAATCCCTTTCGGTACCTTGGTAATGGTTTGCTCCATCTGTGTCTGCGTGAGCGTGGGGAGTGTCGTTTTCAGGTAGTCCACGATGCTCTCAAAGCTGTCGCACTCCACTATCTCCCTCTCATGGTTGCTCAGCAGACAGAGGGCCACTTTAAAGATCACCTCAGTACCCTGTACAAACACTAGATCTAACCACAAAAACAACAGCAACAACAACAAAAAACAAAGAAGAAGCAGCATCAGAAAAGTGTTAATGTAATCTCCAACACAAATGCCTCAGCAGATATAATTCTGCCGAGGCAATTTGGCTGCAATCAGAGACCCCAATGTTCTGGGCTTTACCAAAGATGCGGGACACGAAGCCGAGGGGGAACTGCGAGGCGAAGAGGGTGAGGAACCAAGGCGCAGCGTAGAGGCTCGGCCCGATCTCGTACTCCTCCAGGTGATTGTAAAGGTCCCGGTGGTAGTCGTGCAGCAGCCTGGAGAGCTGGTACATCTGAATCTGGAGCACCAGGGAGACAAAAAAAAAAAAAAGGCAACATCAGGTCAGAACAAACTGGTAGAACTGGATCTGGAAGAGACAAGGTTTCCAAAAGAAATCCAAGAATCAATGAAGGATTTTTTTCTTTTTTTTTTCTTCCTTTTTCCTCCCCCATTGAACCACAGCGCTGGTAAAGTGAAAGCAGTGTTGCTTAAAGGACTTGCTCAGACAAGGCCGTGCGTCTGATGAGCTGCAACAACTCTTTTTACAGTATGAGACAGCAAAAAGCAAAGACAGGAGAAGCAGAAGTTAGCTCGGGCTAAAATTAGACTCCAAGCTTTTACAATTTCCTCAAAGTAACAAAGAAGACAAGCGGTACCTGAGCCTCCTCCCGAAGCGCAAAGGAAACAGCACAAATATGTGAGGAAACGTCTTTAAAGACCAAAACCGCTGCAGGGAGGGAAACGGCAGGCTTCTGCTCGGCTGAACGGTTACCTGGAGGAGATTAAACATTACCCCCCGCCCCGCTGTCGATGCTTCAACTATGGTGAGGTCAGCTGATGTTTAACTGGAGCTAACAGAGCAGGTGTGGTCTGACGGAGAGGTGGAGACACGCCGCTGCCAGCAAATCAAACCAATAAAAGGTGACAGGCAGATGACCGCTATAAAATGAACGGAGGAGCACACTGTGCATGGTTTTAAACAGGAAGTAGATGTGTTTGGTTTTTTTTTGTGTGTGTTTCTGTGCTTTCAAAACACATTCGCAAAACTGGAATCTGCACTTGTCACTCCCGTCAAAAGCAATTTAAATAAAAAAAAAAGGCAATAAAGACAAAAAGCATAAAACTGTAAGAAAATATTTTAAAATGGTATTTTCTTACACAAAGTTGACACACATTTGGTTAAAATAAAACATCGACTCAGAAAGAATTCCTGCACATTCTCGACCTCGTGATGGCATTACATAAGAAAACGGAATGGTGCGTTTCATCATCTTGTCTTCAGGATCAGGCGCTGTAGTTCTTACAGTAAAACGTTTCAGTGTTTTATCCATGGCATAATGCCTGAAATATTTAAACTATGGAGCAGGTCTGGACTGCTGGTGTGCAAACTCGGGTTCTGGGCTGTTCTGTTACGCCGCGATGCTGCTGGATGAGAGGATACGATGCTCTAAATGCGCATTTTTCTTAGGAAATAAATTGAAGCCATGTGCATTTATTGGATAACAGTACTGGTTATAATGCAAACCACATTGTGCCTTTCCTCTTCTGCTTGGAGAATGCAGGACCAAGTGAAGAAGTAGTTAAATGTTTATTTGTTTACACAAAGAGTAATTTTCTCTCAGTCTCATAAAGACTGAAATGGTTCTGTCCCATTATTTTCTCAGCGTTTAATTTGTTTGTGAACAATGTTATGGAGAACTCAGCAGAGATTTTTTTTTTTAATGAACAATTTTCAATGCATAAAAATCTTAATGATTCTCTATTAATTATTGCAAACAGAGCTATTAGTTACTGGGGGAAAATTCTTTTGTTCAATGATACTATGAAACAGGGTTTTTTTTTTATTATTGTAATCAGTATCAGCAGCAGCCTTTATCGAGTATTTGTGACAAAATGCCCAAAGTGGCCAAAAAGCAAGCAGGAAGGTCAGCACAGGTTAGAACCTGAACCCTTTGGCGATGTTCACATCTTGGTTGTTCATCCATCATGACTCATCAGGCGCTCAGCCGTCTGACAAAACTGTCCCTGCAGTGGTTTGTAAAAGTATTCATACCATTAGAGCATTTTTTTTTACTTATTTTGCGGCCAGAACTTTAATGCGTTAATTTTGATTAATTAATTACATAGATTTTAATGTGTTAAAAATTTTTACTCATTTTTTTTTTTTTTCAGTTTTAGTTTTACATATAAAAGTTCCAGCTGGAACCTTTATACTTGCGTTTCTGGTATGCCCTAAATGCGACGCACACGCGACATCCACAAACAAACCAAAAGACAGCGAAGTCGCGTGCCTTGGACCCCTCAGGGTTCATTTTTGCCTCAATAAATAGCCTGATGGGACTCTGGAAGAGGCTGTTGTTGTGTACGTTGTGCATAAAGGAGTCGGCCGGTAACCGGAGCTACTCAAGCCTGAAATGCCATCTAAATGCAAAACGTGTTGCTGCAGCACAGACGTACCCGGTGCTAATGTGAGTGTCCACAGGGCACATTTCTAAATAAGTTTTTTTTTTTTTTTTTTTTTCCAAAGAAGATCCCTGAATGCTGGATGGATATAATAGCGCTTTTGCCCAAATCTGATGGTTAAATAATACAAATAACAGATGAAAAGCAACAAATCTCTTTGATGTTCAGCTCCTACGTCTATTTATTCAATAACGTAGCCGCAAAAAAGGGTTTTTGAATTAAAGATGTTGCTTAATTTGTCAACATATGATTTTCAATCAAATTGTGATCAAGTAATTACAGACCTTGAAATTAACTCCATTAAAAATTATGACTAATTTTGTTGCAGTACAAACACAAGCTTTGATCAATTGTATTTATTATGTGAAAGACTAAAGCAAAATAGTGCATGGTTGAGAATAGTTGATGGTTTTCAAGACATTTGTTTTAATAGTAAAATAAAAATCCTAAACATGCAGACAATGCATATATATATATATATATATATATATATAAAACAAAACAAAAAAACGCTGAAGTGCAAAAGTCTTCACCGGTTTTGATATGAAAAATATTTCTGTGCACTCATGAGTTTGCTTTTGTTCGAGCGGCATGTCAAAGCAGCCGATCAGTGCGCGTGCGCTGACCTGCAGTGAAACCATGTCGGGTCGGTACTGCCGCCTGATGCCCAGGTCGTACATCAGGAACTTCAGCATGTCGAAAGCTTGCTCTTCCCTCATGTGGAGCAGCAACACTCCGGCCACAAAGCTGATGCCCTGGCAGTAGCCAACCTGCGGAGAAACAAATAGGAAAAGGACGCTTCGTAATGACTTTGAGGAGATTCTTTACTTTGAATGTTTCTGTGAGCGGAGCAAAAAGGATTACAGCGTGTACCTCTGTGTCCATCAGAGAGTACGCCTTCAGCAAATTGTAGAGGGAAAGTTGGCCCGCTCCAAGCTGGGCTGAGAAGTACTGGTGTGTGGGGAAGGTCCGGCCTGAGGAGGGAGTTGGATTTACAGCTATAAGCTTCTGTTATAAAAACAATGCTCCGTGTGAGAACTTCATTAACTATTCGCTGTTTGTAATTTTATGCACCACTCAGTAGTGGGACCACAGTTTCAGCTTTCCCATTATATTTATTCTACATCGAAGCCCATTTTACCATGCGCAGCTTGCAGACCTAATGTAGGAAGCGACTATTGTGTTTTTAATCTAACCAATCGAGGTAGTCGCTAACAATATAAGTGGCTTTTACCCTTTGTTATAGATAATCCAAGGGACTGTATTGGCTGCTGCACCTTCCTGCAGGCGGCTGCTGGTTTTAGTGACGAGTGGCACAAAGAGCAGCTGAAACACTAGTCTTTAAATCTCACGGCGGCGAAGTTCAAGTACGAAGTTCATAAACTTTTAAATAAGCTGTATTATCAACAAATTAAAACAGAAAGTAGACGTGTACATTTTAGACAAGCACTTCAGAAAATTTGAGACAAATCCTGGAACCATCCGGACTGTGAGTCAAGTTGGAAAGAATTTAGTTTTTAATTTAAACCATGTGTTGGTGTATTCTATGGACTTTGAGAAAATAGTCATTTCTGCAACTGCAACTTTAAGTGTTCAGCTTAAGAAATGCAAGGGGCATTCAAATTCAGTTCAAATGTATTTAATTTAATTACTTAATTAAATTAAATACTCAAGAATTTAGCTCCGCAGCAGATTTGTGTTTGTGTTTTAAATTCAACATATTAACTAAATCTCCACCCCGTGTGTAGAATAAAACATGTCTTTCTTCCTATAATTGTAGCAAAAAGAGAAGCATCAACTTCCACGTCCCTCCTTTGTTTTTAGGTGCTTTTGAAAGCTACACTACAACCGTCATCCGACTTCCTCACGTCTATTTCCTTTCTTCCTAATGCAAAGAAATGTTTGCGCAACTCATAGCAAGGAAAATCAGTCACAGTAAATTTCTAAACAAGACACACAGAAAGCTTTACTTCTGTTTCTTGTAGATTTTGAACTTAAAGGTGTCGCTTCTGCCTGCAGTGGGGGCACCGATGAGAATATTTCCGCTTTTTTGTCGTGTTCAATCCTAGTGGGGCCGTGCGGTTAAGCGGAGGTCACGTAACGGTGAGCATGCCCACCTAAGTCCACCAGAATGGCGTGCTGCTGTGCGGTGAGCTGCTTCAGCAGGTCGTAGTAGGGGGTGTCCGGAGCTTGCTGGCGCTGGGGCAGCCTGTGCTGCAGCCGATGCTGATGGGAAAGGAGCAACCAAACCTCCCCGCGTCTGCTCTTTGGAACTCCTGCAGAAAAACAAATAAGTCAAGTAAGTATAAGGTAAGGTAACATTTAATAACGTCAGGCTTTTAAAGTGCACCCATGCACTTCCCTCTCACCCTGGCAGATGGCTCTGTATATGTCCTCCTTGTCCTGTGGGTTTGTGGTTCTGCCTGGAGCCGTTAGCTTTCTCTCCCAGAGCGCCTGAGCTTCCTTGGAGCAGGTACACACTTCCTGGTAGTTGAGCTTCATTTTGCGGATGTGCAGCTCATCTCGACTCGCTTCGGTTGAATTAGGAGGTACGAAAAACAGATAAGGGAACAAACTGAACATCGCTTCGCTGAAGAGGGCAAAAAAAAGGGACAGGCAAAAACCACCAGGAGATGATGCAGACCATCAGTCCTTTAGCTGAGATGGAAACACGGGACACAAAAGCCACAATAACACCAAATAGAAACCAGATTATTCTAAAGGTTTGATCGTAGTGATGAAGAGAACGGAAGGATAATTAAAAAAAAAAAGTTGGTCACCCCCACCGCCAACCCCATGACATGCAGAAAAAAAGAAAAAAAAAAAGGAAAGATGAGTTGAATGACTCTTGCAGCTAGCCACTAGTATCATGCAAAACCTCTTCCCTGATCCCAGAGGCTTCTGTTATAATGCTTACCTTCTACAGAAAACAGTTTTGCACTGTAAGGTCCTCAGACCAGCAATGACGTCAAAATATCAGACAAACAAAAAGAGATGGGTTGGTGTTGGATTAAAGTGATTCGCTCTTTTCTTTGTGTGTGTATTTTGAGATGTGCATGCATCAAAATATTATGTTCAGACACTCATTGCTGCTGAGACCTAATTCTGCATACGTCTATTGAGAAGTGCAATCTAAGATGCCATTTATTTTTGATGAATGGCATCTTAGAGAGCTGGACTGTATCCTAAAAATAAAAAACTCAAATTTGTTTTATTGATCCTTTCAAATAATGTAGATTAACCGTCTTGTTCTTGGTGCTACATCAGCAGCAACTGCTTCCTTGAATTCAGAAATATTTTTCCACTGCGTCTCTGTTAAACCCTTATGAGTACAACAGGAACTGATCAATTGTAAAAACAAGGCGAGACTTTCAGCTGCTTCCAGTCACTGCCAAAAAATAAATTTAAAAAATACACAAACTAACCTGAATTTAGTCTTTTGCCTCAAGAGGCCATTCACTGCTGTGGCTGACTGAGATTTCCACAGAGTGTTTTGAAATAACTGCGTACATCTGTTAGATTTCTACACTATTTCACCATTTCTTAGACGTTTTACCTCGAGAGTGACATTTTCATGACCTACACGCTGCAAATCATCACAACTGTCAGAAATAAAGGTCTGAAACATCACTCTGTGTACATAATGTGATTCACTCAGTAGGCTGAGTTTGAATAAGTTAAGTTTTCAACAATATCTAAATTTATTGAATATTGTACATCTACTGTAAATCACGTTCAAGCTGGAGAGTTTGTTGACCCTTTTCCTCTTAGGATGCTGTTGTGCAAAGCAGGTCTGGATTTCAAGCACAACATCATGGCTCCTTGCTCACTATTGGCTAATTTACATATATATACTTTAATCATGAAAAGCAACACAAGTATCATAAGCTAAAATCTAAACATAGTTGAAAAGTTATTAAAGAATGATGATTTATGCTCTTTAAGCTATTCTGGTGAAATGAAACTTTTTATAAACCACGTTGCAGTTTTTACAAATTGAACTAGTGAGGAAAAAAAAAAAAAAAATCACACACACACAAAAGTGTAATTCCTGTTTCGGCAAGTATGAGGTCATCATAAGCACCGTGTGTCCTTCATGTGACCGGCAAAGAATGCGCTCCAGGCTTAAAATGCCACTTTTCGGTGCGGTGGAGAAGGGATTTACGCTCACCTTCCAGCCTCTGATTCTCCTTTTCCATGCGCAGCAGCAGGATCTGCTGGTGGATGGCAGTTTTCCAGAGAGCTCTGTAATCGGCTCCCGTCTTCTTGGGCTTCTTGTCGGCCGGCTGATCGGATGCCGGGGACAGAAGGCGCCTCAGAGGGTCCAGACCAGGGTCCGAGGCACGAGGAGACAGAGGCAGCAGCTCCGTGGCGTCAGAGCCGTCTGCAAAAAGTGTGTTAACACATGAACACGTGCTTAAAATTCACTTTGCTTTGCCATGTAACAATAAGTTTGATTTACTAGCAGTGTCGAGTCCACAGAGGGTTTTAGAGGATAGTGAGAGCAGTTCCACACAGCTGCTTTTAATTTAGGATTTGTTGTCTCGAGTGGTTCTCAGCTATTAAAAGCACCTGCTTTCACACACACACACAAAAAAATACTGACAAAAGTTTTTAACTTATTCCAAAACTGACAGAAAAAAATGGAGCATTTTGAAGTAAACGGGAATGTTTTCTGAACCGAGGGGATATTCAGAGTCAGAAACACGTAGACCAGATAGCAAATTAAAACCAGAAGGAGATGGATTTAATTGTTGCCTTGTCTCACTGATAAATAATAATGGATCCGACTCTGACTGTGGTTCATTAGTCCAAAAAATGGCTGTGTAACCCTTTCAGTGATTTTGTTTCTTATCAGTGTTTCAAGTTCTTTAGTTTAGGGAAAGGTATGTTTCTTTTTGGGACATTACAGTCTTCATCGTGTTGCCAAATGGAGTCTATTTGGTTACAGGTCAGGTCTGCATGTGGCTAGAGAAACTGAAGGGGGGG